GTCACCTTCATGGAGGACTAAATGTCTCTGAAGAAGTTAACTACCCCTGACTAGAAGTAGGGACAGGGACTTTTTAGAGGACAGAATGAACATTTATACTAATACATTTTCTCCAGCGTGGCCAATTATTCCTTAGAATGTCTCATTTGCATATTTTTTGTGTGTATACATTTTAAAAGTTTCCCATTCTTCATGCCATTCCCTGCTTAGACTCTTAAGGATTTTTGTAACAAGTGCTCTTGGTTAGAAGCCTATTTTTGCTACAGTTGGTTTAGGAATCTAAAAAGGAGAAGTATTTCCACATTGATTGGACTAACTTTCCTACCTACAGCAGAAGATACAATTCATTATAAGGAAATATTTTTGACATGCAATTTACACCAACTGTTGAGGAAACATCTCAAAGGAAAGTTAGAAGAATTGAATGTCTAGGTTATACAAAAAATCAAAAATTTAAAAAGTAGGCAACAGTGCAAATTAAAGAACCAAAATATCACTAAAATGTTCAAATAACGTTCTTATGAAAAATAAAATTTCCTTAAATTCTAACATGGAGAGAAAAAATTTAGGAAATATAATGAGAATATGGCTAGATTTTTTTTTTTTTTTTGAGGTAGGAAAATTTTCTTTGAAAGTGAGATCTTTGGTTAGAGGTAGGAAAAGAGAAAGTTTTCTGGATTTTTGTTCAAATAATGCTTTTCAAAGGTGCAGAATTAATGCTGGATCTATGCATACCAGACCTGTAAGGGGAGGAGGAAACTACTGTCTTTTTGGCTAAAATTCCTGGTTGGCAAAACTTCTGTTTTGAAGACTGGGGTAAAGTGTAATATAGATCTACGTGGATATATCACGTTGCTGAAACTCAAAATAAAACCTTCTCTTTGCTGGTTCTCTGTCATTTATTCAAATAAGATCATCTTAAGTGAGCTTAAGCTGGAATGAGGTTTCTTATGCATTAATATTTAGAACTCAGTAGTTATAGAAGTGTTCCCTCATAGCTAAATGTATATGTCCTAACTTTTTCAGAAATGTTGTAAAGAGATCTTGAAAATCTCCATATAATTCTTTGCAGTGATAATTTAGAATTTAATAGGCATCAATGATTAAATTATCTGAGGAACTTTTAAAAAATTATCTAATACAATTATGTACTACTATACTTCGTTATAAAATGCAACAAGAGCTCACACATTTCATTTGAATGTCTGCATAGTTATATATAGTTTAGGCCTTCCAAATATTATAAATTACTTAAAATAGAAAATCTTAAAAATGATGCAGAAATACTATGGAATCATGTTTCCTGAAATCTAATTACTATGTACAATTTAAAATAATTGATTAAACACGATTAGTCTTTAAGATGCATAGAACCAATTTCAACTTTAGCTATTATTAAATTAGCATGTTATACATTAAAATCAGCTGGAAGATAGTCAAAATAAACCTTTAAAGGACAGCGTGACACTTAAGAGTTGCTATATATCTTACTTTGATTATAAAATTCAATGCTGGAATAGAGTGTAAAAGTGTCCAGAAATATGAATTAAAGTGGTTTACCAAATATTTTGCTTTCTAATTCTTAACATCTGGATATTTAACATTTCCTAATCTTTGCTACTTTATGTACAAGAATTCATACTATATTAAGTCCAACTTTTGCTTTTTAGATGGATATCTTAGAGATGAGGGATTATATAGTTATTAATTCTTAATGTAATTTTTGATACATTCTTACTTTTTATTACAACATTGTGATAAATTTTCCATAAAAAGGGTATAAAAATTTAGGCTTAAAAAAATAATAATCATGACATCTAATATAGAAAAAAGAGTGGGAAGTCTCTACAACCAAAAGCATATCTGTATCAGGAATGATACTAACATACTATTCTCTCCGCCACCCAGAAACTCAAGTTATGGGGAAGTATAATGTAGCCAGTTATTACCAGTAACCTTTCAGGTTTATAAGGAAAATCAAAAGAAATTCTCCTATTGTAGACTTTATTTTAATCCTTTGGTCTCTTCCCAATTCATGACCTCTACTTTCCTCTGGCTTACGGAAGACAATTCCGTAACTTTTTTATAATCAACTGCTAATCAACATCAGTTCAACATTAATTTTAAATGACCTGATTTTAGAGCATATTTCTAATAGGGATACTTACTGTACTTATTTTCCCCTGCAAATTTTATAATAGCTATAAATAGAAAAACAATATCCTCTAGATATTAAAGCTTCTAAGCTGGTTTTGTTTAAAACTTATATGCTGTAAATTTTTCCTTGAGAAAATTCTGATATATTATAGGACATTTATAGCTTTTATCCAATTGTGATCTTGAAACTATAATTTCATATCAAGGAAATTAAAGCCTCATCACTGTTTGTAAATGTTTTGAGTTTCTCTGATCAAATGCAGTATAATAGATAATAGGACTTCTTTTTCGAGATCAAGCCTATATTTACGGTAACTAATATAAAAACAGTCAAGTCCGAGGTTACCAGTACAATGTCTGAATGCCAAGTTGTAGACACTGGACAAAGTACAGTCAGAGGTCAGTAAAACTCTGGAAGCCCGTGAGCAGAGACAAATGCGCTACGGTGCAATAGCCAGAACTACAGACATAAGATTCAGATGTAGCCGAAGCAGAAGGCGAGGAAGTGTCTGGGGAGACATGCTAGTTGGATTTTGAAGGATGCATGGCAGGTGGCTGCCGCTGTGGGGGTGATTTGAAGAAAAAGTCTATACAGAGGAGACTGGCTTTGCAAAAGTTTGGTATAGTGCGTTTGGGAAATTACAAAGTATTTGCTATTGCCAGCAGCTGAATTGGGAAGTGGCAGAAATTAAGAGTACCTAAATAGATAAAAGCCAAGGTGCAGAGTCTTGAAGTATAGGGATTATAGCTCTGCGTCTGGTTCTCAAAATTGTTGCGTTAATAACTACGTAGGTGTGTGGTGCAGAAGTGCACTTACAATGCTAATCTTTCATAGCATATCACCTTAAAAGGTTACTAATGGAGGGGAAAAAAGTACAGGTATAAAGTTTGTGTGTCACTCTACCCAGTGGGGCTGACTCCTGTCACATATGGTGCCACCACAAAGGCAACAGGGTACAGCCTTAGGTATTTCCACACCTGGTTCTTCTAAAAGCTCCCCCAAGAAAAACTAAAGCAAAATCATTTTCTTGCTGCAGGACTTTTCACTGTGTTAATTCTAGAAATTCCTTTTGCCGTGTAAAGCTCTGACAGGAATTAAATTGAAGAGAGACTTTTTCCACCTTTCCTCCTGCTATAGCAGAATCACTTCCTTGGCTGATATCTTTATTTATAAAATTTGACCTAACACTAGGTCTGTTAGTTAAACTTTCCTTTGAAAGTTAAACGTAAGTGAAGTACAATGCTATCGTTTCACCATTTTATCCTACCCAATGTCTCACACACACAAATAGACAATATTCCTAGTTAGAGCTCTTATTATTAAATGTTTGGAGATGATTTTCTGGACTGAGATTGCTTGTACCTTCAATTTTTTGAATATTTTTATACCTTGAATATTGGTGACATTTAGAAGAGAAGTTTTGAAAAATATTCTCCCTATGCTTTATAACTGTCTTATCTGAGGGCATAATGACATTGCTGTATTTGTGAAACAGGTGCTGTGTGCTCATATGTAGCAATGAAAGTTATATTATTATACTTAAAAGGTGACTCCTATGTCATCCACATATTGGGTAAAAGGATAGAAAATAAAAATATATTTCTTAGAAGTAGATCTCAGATCCTATTTATTTTATATTTCACGGTAGATTTCATCTTTAGCACATAGAGGTTTTTATTCAAAGTTTTCAACAAAATATTTTTCCCTAAATATTTTCCATAGAATTCTAAATGATCTGACGTTTCTAGTAGACCAACAATAGAACTGATTTACGTAAAACTGAAATGTTGCTGAAACAATTTAATCATTATTCGGTCATTTCTTTACCAGGAATTTCGATTTGACTGAACAATTTCAATCCACAGTAACAGCTTTGTTCCTAAGAGACTATAAATCAAAGAAATACTCAGTAAGGAGCAATTCCTACTGCAGTTCAAAGTCTGTGCTATTATCACGTAGTGATGGACAGCAAACATCCATTGCAAATATTAGTACATTTGTTGGAGGAGGGTCGTGTTTTTGGTTTCACTCTCTATCTCTGAAACCTATCTGCTTGTGAGAAAAGTTGTGCAATAAAAGAAGTTTTACCGACACATACTATAGCTATGCTTGAACTCAATGCAGCGATTCACTTCCTTTCTTTGCCTGGATTCCAAGCCAGGGAACACAATGAGGGTGTTGTGCTCTGGGCTAGCGTGGCATGCATGATACTCGGAAAGGACGCGTGAGCAGCTTCCAGTACCTACACTATTTGCTTTACAACTACCCGCAACTAAATCAAACAGCACACCAGGACTCTGTGCTCAGAATACGCAAGGGCACAAGCCACTGGCTCTTATGACCTACATAGGTACGGAATTCCTTAATTTAAACGTATATAGAGGTGTGTTAAGAGTTAAATACATCATTTCGGAGGCTTAAAAATAAATGCTTCACAATTTTCGAGCTGCTGATTTTCCACGTAATTCTCTGAATGTATGTCAAAGTGCAGGTCGTAAAAGAATCCATTGTTTCTAAGGGAGAAAGATTGTTGCTGGTTATGAAGGCTGTCCAGAACAACAGGCCATCGTGGTTTGTTAAAACAGCGAATATTTATTTTAAACCCCAAGGCATATTAGTAATTTTTTTAAAAAATCATTACAATTTCTAGAACCTGAACTTACTGAAACAATTCTAAGTCTCTGACACTATTTTATGTATGTGTATGTATGTGTGTGTGTGTGTTTGTGTTTGTATGTATTTCCTTGGTAAATCCAAAGAACACAATGATTGTAAATGTTTAGGTTAAGTTTTGCTCGGAGTTATTGTTATGCTGTGCTTGAAAAAGGACAAAAAAGCTTACCTCTGTCAGTCAAGTGGCTACACAGGGACCTCCTTCTCAGCCTCAGCTTCAGCATGCAGACAGATGCTCTCTGAGCCAACAATCTGTTAACAGGAAGCAGGTAAACCCGAGAGCGTCCGCCTGCGTTACAGTCCAGTGCCCATCCGAGCACACACCTGCTTTTTCAGACCTGCCACTCATATGCTACAGCCACGCACAGGACCTGTGTTTGCAGACGAAAACACCTCCTTTGGGGTCACTAGTTTTCAGGGTAAGCAGCTAGAGAGCTGCTGAGATAACATTGCCGGGAAGGCGAGCCTTCCCAAGACAAAAACCTTTTCTGCTGTCTGATAGCAGATATGCAGCATTATCTCTCTGCATTCCACGTTCTCAAATCAGCTACTAGGAAAGGCAGTCGACAGCTCGTCCAAATGGCAGCTGGCAGGCATGCTTGGCTGTACTAATTGTATACTAACATGCCCACTACTTCTCTCTTCCCTCAATAGATTTTTTAAAAAATGCTTCTTCCAGGGTAAAGCTCAGCGGAATATGCCACACTGTTTTCCATAAGTAAAATGGCTGGTCCTCCCAGCACTGCTGCAGACAGCTCATTGGGTTCCACTGGCTTTTCGTAGTCATAGCAACAACCAACAGACAGACTTAGCAAGCATGGCTGATCACGTGCAGTGCACGACACAGCTTGTTAATTTCTTTTCATGAAACTCATCATTTTGGGAGGAGGGTAGCTTCTGTTATCGTTCTCAGTATTTCACCGATAGTGCAAGTGCTCTGAGTTTTCAGCTTTCAGGAGGAACTTTTGTTATATGAGCCAGTGCTTCATGTGAAATTGAGAAAGCGAAGCCCTTCTCAGTAGATAGATTCGGGTCTATCCAGGTTAATAACATGCAAATCACTGTAGAGACAGTAATTGGAACCATTGTTAAAACAGCTTCCACCTTCGCGTCATAGCGTAAAGGAGACTGGCAAATGTGGACAGTTATACTTTGTTTTTCAGTGATAATCTTGTAGCCACTTAGCTGAAACAAAGCCCTGTGGCTCATTATATGTGGCCAAAATAACCAAAGATGTTACCTATGGATCCATGTATTTAATTATTTTAATACACTTTTTATGTACTACAGAATTTAAAATAAAATTCTAAAAATTCCTATTGTTTCCTACTGCAGAAAATGATTAACTCAATTATAATTTATTTGTAATATTAAAATACTTTAGGAAATCCAAACCAAATTAAAACTGCTTTGCTTGGGCTTCCCTGGTGGCGCAGTGGTTGGGAGTCTGCCTGCCGATGCAGGGGACACGGGTTCGTGCCCCGGTCCGGGAAGATCCCACATGCCGCGAAGCGGCTGGGCCGGTGAGCCATGGCCGCTGGGCCTGCGCGTCCGGAGCCTGTGCTCCGCAACGGGACAGGCCACAACAGTGAGAGGGCCGCGTACCGCAAAAAAGGAAAAAAAAAAAAAAAAAGCTTTGCTTTAAATCTCACCTTTCAAGCAGGAATAGTTGTGCTTCCTCAGTTAGATGGATCACATCCCACCCTTGCTTAAAATTTCACCTCTTCAGGGAATTTCTCATAATACATACCATTAACCATTTATAATTTCTGCAAAATCCCCACCCTTTAATACTGTCACCAGTCATATTCTGTTTGATATATTTTCAAGACGCCATCCCGTTTATTTTTGTTTCTAGCGACGTGACTGAAATAGTTGTATTAATACTTTGCACTTGTAAACATAGCTACTTCCTTCATTTGCTGCTAGTCGTCGATTTCCTGTTTTGTGAGTGTTGCATTTCCCAGCCCGTGTTAGGACTCCTGCTCCAGTAGTAATTCCCTAACTTTACTCTGCATAAGAATCCTGTGCATGCAGATGTGGGGATCCCATTTTCCTTCTGTCTCCAAACAGATTCACAGTTGGAGGGTTTGAGCCTGCTCAGGTTAGCATATCTGCTGAAGAAACGTGGGTGAGCCTTTCCCACTCCACATTGTTTGCAACCTTCTCTGACTTAAGGTACTTTTTCCCTTAAGTTATTTTAAGTTTGCTATTCTTGAACTTGCCCCTGCCTTCAATGTCAGCCTCATATTCTACTCTTCATTCCCCAGGTTTCAACAATTTTGAATGACATCCCATTTCTGGCTTCCTTGCCTTGCAGATGTTCCTGCTTCCTAAAAGCTTCTCCGCCAGAACCCCTCCCCCCCCCCCCCCCCCCAGCACCTGTTGCCTCCATCCCAGTCTGCCTCCGACTTTATCTTTGAACACCTTGCTCAAACAGACCACCTCGCTAAAGACAGCCACGGGCAGAGTTTGTAGGGGGCTCCTGTGTGCCTCCAGTGTACCTGGAATCTACCTCTACTATTACACACTTGTCATGCCCCGTAGGTTATTAGCAGTCTTCCTTTCTTGTCTGACTTCTCCACTGCTCTGTCTACTCCCCGAAAGCCAACCTGGTCCATGTCTTATTTGTCATACTTGGAATATTCTAAGTTTTCAGTACATTTTGAAGGAGAACCTAAAACACTGTCTGAACAGGTGCTGAATGACTGGATAGTGTGAGGTCTGGGTTTTAATTCATCTTTTCAATACCATGCGTTATTGACTTACTATAACTTCAGAAGAATTTAAGTGATTTTGATTAAATGTTGGCATTTTTAAAAAGTTATGAAGAAACATCCTAAGTTCATCTGGTGTCTTAGGGTAGCTTTTCTTTTCATTGTATGTTTGAAAATGTCTTTATTCTACCCTTGTACGTGACTGTTTGGCTAGGTTTAAGAATCTTTGGAGTCATTTTCCTTTGGAATTTTGAAGGTCTTCTTTTGTCTAGTGGCTTCTTGCCCCAGGGCACCATCAACTATAATCCACCGAAGAAGAGAACTAGAAACTGCCCAAGGCTGCTCAGGATTAGAAACTGGGAAGCTGGTAGGAACTGAGACAAATCTTTTTGCTCCCATGGTGTCCCTCATGGGACCTCTGCTCATCATTATAAATCACTCTGTGTGGCAGGGGGTGGGGATTGGGGAGGGATGGATGAGTGTTCTGTGCATGCTGTGGCTTCATCACCTACCCCAAGCCTCTCCTCTCATATGTAACTCTGGCTGCCATGACCCATCACTGTTGCTCTGGCCCTCTGGTTCTGCTCTACCGCATGTACAGCAGACTTTTTTTCTCCCTTCTAACTTGTTCATTGCTAAATACGGATTCCCAAGAAACAAATATGATCGTCCCACCTCATCTTTCTGAGCCAGAGGAGATACCTCATAAGTTGCCAGCAGCTGTATACCTGGACTGCCCTAAGTCAGGTTCCAGCCCTTGATCCCATCAGCTATGGTAGGGACACTTGGCATTATATAGTTTTCAAATATTTGCCACTACAGTAGGTGCAAAATAGCAGCTCATTATCATCTTAATTTGCATTTCTTTAATTACTGATGAAATTGAACACCTCTTCATGTTCAATGGTCTTTTGCGTTACCTCTTCTATAAATTTCCTGTTCATACCCCTTGCCTGTTTTCTCTATTGAGGTTTGTTGTCTTAATGTAGAATTTTAAACAAAATGCCCATGGAAGGTATTTTCAAATGTTTTATATATTTAAACATTACAATTAAATTTGTTATATAATTAAAAGTTAGTAAGTTACCCATTGATATATAAAGGGGAACCAGTAATTCACTGCTAATTGTTTTGGTTTTTATTATGCAGAATGTGGGTAAAAATCCCTGTTCAGAATTTTTTTTGGTATGGAAGTGTATACTACCACAACCGTGATATAAGAATGATTTTCTAAGACAAAATCTAAAGTCATATAAATCACATCCCCCTAAAATGTTGTCAGCAAAAGTGCCTTTCCAAATTAAGATTACTTTTATTTTAAGAATAGCAAGTATCATGAAAGAAAAAGAAAGGCTGAGGAACTGATGTAGATAAAAGGAGACTCAAGAGAGAAACTGAAAACAGTGTGTGACCCTGGCTTGGGCACTAGATCTGAAAAAAAGATGCCATCAAGCCTGCCATGGAGACAATAGGTGCATGTGAATATGGACTGTATGGTATATAACAGTGATGTTTCCATTTCATACTATATTATGGTTTGAAAAATGTATATCTTTGTTCTTAGGAAACACAAATTGAAGTATTTAGGGTAAAGGACCAGGGGCTCTGCAACTTACTTTCAGATGGTTCAGCAGAAAGAATAATAATGTGTAATAATGTCTTATGTGTGTGTGTTTGCGGTATAATTTGGCTCTTATAACAAGAGATAGAAGATAGATTTATACCTATAACCTGTGTACATCTATATCTGTCATTCTACCTACCTACCTATCTCTCTGTCTATCGAGGGCTAACACAAATGTGGCAAAATACTAACACCTGGTAAATCTTAGGTGAAGGATATTTCCAACTTAGTTTATTATTCTTTCCATCTTTCTGTAAGTTTGAAGTTCTTTGTTTTCAAGATAAAAAGTTTGAAAAATGGGGCTTCCCTGGTGGCACAGTGGTTAAGAATCCTCCTGCCAATGCAGGGGACGTGGGTTCGAGCCCTGGCCCAGGAAGATCCCACATGCAGCGGAGCAACTAAGCCTGTGCGCCACAACTACTGAGCCTGCACTCTAGAGCCCGCAAGCCACAACTACTGAAGCCCATGCACCTAGAGCCTGTGCTCTGGAACAAGAGAAGCCACCGCAATGAGAAGCCCGCACACCGCAGCAAAGAGTAGCCCCCGCTTGCTGCAACTAAAGAAAGCTCACGCGCAGCAACGAAGACCCAACGCAGCCATAAATAAATAAATAAATATTTTTAAAAGTTTGAAAAATGAAATAAAATGAGAATAAAATAGTGTTCAGAACAAACACAGGTTTAAGATAAGATTACTTGATGAGAACGTTTATCAAAGTTAAAAGTAAAGTTGATAAGTTATAGACTAAGATGACAATGATTAATATTATGAAGAGGCTACTTCGGTAGAGAGTATTAGAAACATTTTGCACTTTCTTATTTATTTATTTATTTATTTATTGGCTGCGTTGGGTCTTTGTTGTTGTGCTCGGCCTTTCTCTAGTTGTGGTGAGCAGGGGCTACTCTTCATTGCCGCACATGGGCTTCTCATTGCGGTGGCTTCTCTTGTTGCGGAGCACGGGCTCTAGGCGCCGGGCTTCAGTAGTTGTGGCATGTGGGCTCAGTAGTTGTGGCTCACGGGCTCTAGGGTGCAGGCTCACTAGTTGTGGCACATGGGCTTAGGTGCTCCACAGCATGTGGGATCTTCCCGGACCAGGGCTCGAACCCGTGTCCCCTGGGCCGGAGGATTCTTAACTACTGCGCCACCAGGGAAGTCCCATTTTGCACTTTCTTGAAAGAAGTTTGATATTTCCCTACATTTACTGCTTATACTGATATAAGCCACTTATCCCTTGGTTCCCATATTGAAATCCTTCTTAATCCAGCTTCACTGCTGTAAAAATTCAGCAGGATCACTGTTGACTGATGCAATATATTCTCCAGTCACACCTATCCCTGCAGACTCCACAGCTGGGTGACAGTCTTCCAAGGGATCCTGTCCCTGATAT